AGCGCCTGCTGATCCCCCCTAACCAGTTTATAACAGGCCACAAGATCCCCCCTCAGCCTTCTCTTTTGAAGGCTGAACAGGTTCAGGTCCCGCAACCTATCCTCATTCGGGGTCAGCGCAGTGTCATACAGCTGCAGAGAAAGCTCCGGGGATTAAACCTGGGAAAGACTCCAAGACCAGGACCTGGGTTCAAGTACCAGCTGAAAGCAATAAACCAACTGCCACAGCTGGGCTGAGTTTAGGCATTCTCAAAGTCCCCCAGCACTCTCCTTGAGCACAAGTGATCACGAACAGGGAGAAGGCAGCATGAGCAGGGGCCTCGGGATGCACCACCTCATCATCCTGGCCTCCATGGCCAGTCTCGACAGGCCACTCCGCTGGTCCAGACCCCAAAGTTGGGTGAGCTGCTGGGAAGTGTCACCACATGGGGGCTGAGCAGGACCCAGCCCTGGGCAGGGTTGCTGTACTGGGGCTGGGCTATTCGGGGTGTACAGATTCCATGCTGTGCCTCCAGGACACCCCCTAGTTCAGAGCCCACAGGAGGCTCTGAAGGCAATGGTGAAGTAGCACTAACTGGCCAGGTCCCAGTCAGCCCTGAGCAGGCAGCATGGAAGGGAAGGGTGCCACACCAGTGCTCACCGTGGGGGGAGGGCTCACCGGCTGCCCCCTCGCCCCAGCCACGAGCTAAGCCCACCGTGTATTTGATGTCACACCACCTCCTTACTCACCTGCCTTTGGTATGCTCACACGTCCCTCCCCAAACTCATCCTGTCCTTGTGCTTGGCACCCCCAGCACGCTTGCTGCTCTGCTTTTGCTTTACCCACCAGCCGTCTTCACACCATTTGCCAAGAGCCCTAGGCTTGGAAGCTCCGCCTGTTGACTGCACAGGCCCACAACTAGCACGTAGGCTCGTGCCAACATACAGCAAGAATGCCAACCCAGTGTCGCTGCTTCCCCAGTCTGCCCTCAACAAGATGCGTGAAAATTTGGGGGAGGAGGTTGTGCCAGGCAGCTTTGCTGGCTACAGCCCTATGTCACTAGAATGGAGACATGGTGCCAGAACTACAGTCTGTTTCTCAATGTGGTTGTGAACCTCCAGCGCACAAGGGTGCTGGGATCCAAGCAAAGGCGCACTAGCTGAAAGAATGGATGGGCGAACCCCAAAGACGGAACAGAGAAAAGCCATGAAAGCCACTCAGCCCCGGTCTGAACGGGCTTGTCATCCAGCACGGTGATGGGACTGGAACTGGGCAGAGATGGGCAGTGAGAAAGTGAGGCAGGGGAAGTGGCTGTGCCTACTGAGCCACCACCACCACCACAACATGAAGCTCAGGTAGACTCCACCCTGCAGCCAGTGCTGGGCAGGGCAGAGGCTCACTGTGGTGGGGCCCACACCCAACAGCTGCCCATGGTCCAAGGTCTCCACTTCCATGTGCTCCTTGACCTCCATGTGCTTCCATGACCTCCCTGGGGCTGGGTGATGACCTCTTCCTGCGAGAGAGGACTCTGGGAGCCTGCACCTGCTGGGATGCCTAGAGCCAAAGTGGCCCAGTCCCCACATGAGACGCCACCCCAAGTCTGCGCCCTGACCGCGGAGGAGGCAGCTCTTCCCTGGAGCGTGGTGTGCTGGCTGCATGAGCCCAATCAGAGATTCCATCTTGAGGCCTGCCCGGCGCAGAGGGCCTGGCGGCTCCCGGCACAGGCAGCGCGAGGGGAGTGCGGGATTGGTGTGAGCCTGCTCACGTGACCCCTCCGAGTTTGAGTTCCTGCCCAAAGATGGGCAGCAGTTCACATGAGCAGGCAACGGTCCCACATCGAGCAGCCGACAAACAGAAAACAGACTCCATCTCCACAAAATGAGGCCCAGCACTTCCTGTGTGAGATTTCCATTTCCTCAGCCAAATGAAAAAGAACTGGAGTGGAGGCAATAAAACAGGAGCACAGGACTGGACCTGACGCACGGAGCGGGGACCCATTAATGGCTAAGCCACTTTGCTGGATTACTCTTAATGCGCCTTCCCATCACCCTGAGTTCTGGCTCCCCTGGATTAACAAAGAGACGTGATTTCAGGCTCTGGATCCGGAGTACCGGAGGCAGATGGAAAATCCTGCGGGAAAGCAGCTACGGAGCATGCTCAGACATTGCCTCGCACACTCCATACTTGGCCCCTTCGTGTACTTTTCTGTCCAAAAATATGCAAATTGCCTAGTCCGCATTATGGACTAATGGGCTGGAATCGGCCAGTTTAGAGAATTAACCCTTCCCGAATTGCGGGGGCAGAGACCAGCTGCTTCCAGACAAAAAGGGGGCGTTATTCTGGATGGCCCTGAACCAGGCCCAGCCTGCACAAAGTCTGCCATAGGTCTAGTCTTACGGCTGATGAGCAGAACGCGATGGGCCCGCTCCACTGAGAGCAGACTCCATTCCCAGGCTAAGCATGTGGTGGGCCGGGCACAGGGCCCAGTGGAGAGGCACCCCAGGAACTGCAGAGGCAACCTAAGCAAAGCTTGAAACCCAGCTGACCCATCAGCCCCAGCAACATATTAATGAGCAAAGGGGAGCCAGCCAGGTTAATGACGCCACCTCCCACACGCTCCCAGCCTGCTGCCCTTGCTACAGGGCAAGCTCCCTGTTGCCCCACCCCTTCCACGTAGGGTCAGGATGTCAGCAAGCGCACACACTCTACGAGGAGGCTGCCTCTGCATGCAAAGGGCAACATGCCAGGGTCCTCACACAGGCCAAGTGCTGCTGTGGCAACAGAGCACCCCACATGCAGGCAGCAAGTGCAGCAGCAGGGACAAGGAGCCCCAGAAGCTGCCTGGGGGTGGGCACATGTAGAAAGAGCAGAAGAGTTCACGTACTGTTTGGGCAGCTCGAGGGAGATGGGAGGGGGGTTCCAGGTGTCCGGGTGGCCGAGCATCCAGTCTGACCAGACCTTCACGCTGGGGAGCAACTCCTTCAGATCCTGGGGCAAGGCAGAGACCTTGATGTCATCCTCTGTGACTTCTTGCTCAGGTTCCTGCTCCTCCTCTTGGGACTGAGCTGTGGAGATGAGACAAGGAAAATGGGCCAGGCTGCACCCTTCCCAGAGCCAGCTGCATGGGATCCCTCCCTCCTGGGTAGTGTAGGATGCAAAAGAGAAGCCAGGTGCCCCTGGGCCCAGAGATGCACCAAACTACCAGCCACCCCTCTAAACACAAGGACTGAGCCACAGCCAGGGCAATGCCTCAGCACCCCCATTATGGAGTAGTTGGGACCAGAGTGAGTCACAGATGCCAGGGGTCCTAGGTCTTGGTACTGCAAAGTCCGCCAGGTGACAGGATGGGTGTGAAGGGCTAAGCCCCAGAGCTCTTCCCTTTCCCTGCCTCTCTCCCTAGTGCTGGGCCAGTCCTGCCCTTGTCTGCACAAGCAGTCATGCGGGGAGCCCTTGCATAGCCCAAAGCCAGAGACAGGTAATTGCAAAGAAAGAAACCTGGGGTAGAAGCCAAAGGGCCTGTGAGAAGTGAGGCTGAGCTGGGGCCAGGGAGAGGCAGCTGCGGTGGGCCGGAGGATGCAAGCTGGCCGGTCCTGGCAGTGCCATGCTGCAGGCAGCTCCCCTTACCTCGGGTAGACTCCTTCAGTAGGCTGGTACAGCGCCTCACCAGCAGGGAGAACATGGCCAGGCCCAGGGCTGTGGCTTGCTCCTGGATCACGGAGCGACACTCCTCTGACAGGCACTCTGTGGAGACAGAAAGAGGAGCGATCAAGCTCGGGCCCAGGAAGCTCCAGGTTCCCACCTCGGGCACAAAGACCATGACCCTATCTGACCAGCATGGCAAGGCTCCAGGAAGCCACAGGGGAAGGCCCCACCCACCCCCCAAGGTGAAAGCCACCCCCACGCTCAGCACCAAACCCAGGTAGGAGGAGAGGAGCTGGCCTAGTTTAGTTGGGGAGTGGCTCGGAGGGGGCCGGGCCCAGGCTGCCACTGTCCCATGAGTGCCACAAAGCCTGCAGGGCCTTGCCAGTGGGGCTGGGGCCTGGGCCAGGGCTGCGGGCTCCCAGCACAGAAGCTGCCACTCAGATGCTAATTCCTCCTGCAAAGGGGGAGAATTCTGAAGTGCTAAAAGGATAATTAGCTGCACGTTTGATCTCTGTCCCTGCTGAGCAGGGGGCTCCTCCCATTAGCTCACCAGTCACACAGCAGCTTGTCAAGAGGCCTTAATTGAAGCTGTTACTCAAGCCAGTGCCACACGACCACAGCTCTTCCCATCCCCTCCACGCAGCTACGCTCAGCCAGAAACCACTTCTCAGGCGGCCGAGTGTGGCAAGTGTGGCTCAAGGGAGCTGCACAGAGCAGGGCCTAGTGGGCACTGCCTGCCTTGCAGAGGGTGAACTGGGGAAGGGCGATTCTGGCATCGCACTGCTCACAACACTATTCTCTGCCCGTTTTGGACAGAGCCCCATGGAGAGGGCAAAAGGCCATGCAGCCGCCTGCCAGGGGCCAGGAAGCGCATGGGAAGAAGGGGCCTGTTCAGAGGGAGCGGGGAGTGGATGCCTGCACGGACCATTTGAGTTTTCCAGGCCATCCCATGCGCAAAGCGTCAGCCTGGCCCCAGCAGCCCCCTATGCTTTCACACTGGGCTGCCCACGCAGCACCCGCTGCACAGCCCCCAGGACCAAGCAAACTGCTGCGGCGGGAGGTGGCTGAAGCCAAGCAAGGTGCATGGTATAGCGACTGTGAGTGGGCAAGACACCCAGGCTGTGCCAGTGCTGGCATGAGTCGAGTGAGAGGCAGCAAAAAGGTTCACGGTGAAGTGTCCTCCTCCTGGCTGCCACCTGAACAGTCACATGCTCCTTGACCACGGCCCCCATCTACCATGATATACATCCATGAAAAGGCCAGTAAAGCCAATGAGGCAGAAGAAAAGGTGGGACAATTAGATGAACCTCCTTGCTACGGCCTGCCCCATTCCAGACTAATAATTTTACCTGGAGCGGCATGGGAGATTCACAATCAGGGGCCAGCAAGGTTGGCAGCTGGAGGGGTGACCTCCCCCACTGCCCAGCACATGTAGCTTAAGAAAACAGGGCCATAAGAACTACCATTTCCTGGGTCAGACCCTCGGTCCCCTCTTGCCCAGTCTCCTGTGTCACACAGCAGCAGAGAGCGGAGGCTGGAAGGGAGTGACCCGTGTCGGAGCAGGGTTTTACCCACATTTCTCTGACTTGCAGCCTCCAGAATTTAAGGTCTAGGAAGATCGGATTCAGAGGCCGTGCCCCTCACTTCCCTGCTCAATAGCTACCGATGCCCCTTGCCTCCCAGAATGTGTCCGAGCCCTTTTGGAGCCTGGCTAAACTGTCACTTCCACCACATCTTGTGGCAACAAGTGCCACACTTCAGTGACGAGCTGGGTGAAAAATTACTTATTTTTGTTAGTTTTAAACTTACTACCTAACTTCATGGTACGACCCCTAGTGAGCTGGGGAGCGCTCTCCCTGCTGGGTCCACATGAACTGGTGCTGGCAGGATATGCTGTGCTGCAAGGGATGTCAGCCTTTGGAAGAAGCATAAAATGAAGGCTGCAACCACTGTCGGACAGCAAATCCCTCTCACGAAACCTTTCCCCAAGTGGGAGCTTTGCCCTCGTGTCCTGGCCACCCTCCATGTCAACGTTACATTCGGCTTCCCAAGAACCCCTCCATTCCAGTTCCAAGTAGGAAGTAGTAGTCTTCACTTCCCATCATAAACAGCTGCACAATGTTGCCCAGCCAAGCAGCGGCTGAACCCTGGGATCACCCAGGAGGGAAGACGCTCCACGCACATTAGAGAGGATGACGCTGAAGGCAGACGACACCGCCCCTTTGGAAGCGCGGGGGGTTTCAACAGACAGCTCCAAAGGGCCAGCAAGTTCCACGTCTGACTCATGCCCACCTGCTCTGAGGAAGCTCGCTGCCCTGTTGCCCAGTGCAAGTCCTGCTCATTAACTACCCTGGAATGAGCATGGGGTGAGATCGTCGCAAAGCCCACAGGGCTGCAGTGGGAGGGGGCATAAAGGCAGAGCAGGGTGCCGTGCCATCATGGATCCAGGGCCAACTGGTGCCGATGGCTCCTTCCCCACTGCAAGAAAACCCCAATCAGAACAGAAATCCAATGCAACACTTGGGTCCCTCATAGCTGGGAGCGCAGTGGTTAACTCCACGCGGTCCAGAGCTGACCCCAGAGAACAAGCCCTGGCCATGCCCACTGTGCTATACCATGGCTCTAGCCACTCCCATCACCCAAAGCTGCTGGAGGTGCCCAGGCTGGAAGCAGAGGGCCCATGGCTCCACCGTACGAGAAGCAGAAACTCTCTCACAAGGCAGGCAACAGCAAAAGCAGAAGGAGTGATGGGAGCTGAGTCTGGGCCATTCCCAGTAAGCAGCCTTGGCCCTGGAACGAGGAGGTCACAGTCACAGTGCATGCACTGATTCACATGCAGCCATGCTGCCGTAAACTAGCCTAGCTGGCACGGAGCCTCGATTCAGGCCACCCAGCTTCCCCCAGGGAACGATCAGGGCACCACAGCCATGCAGGCATGAGGAACATCCCCCTTCCCTTCCAGCTTGGCTGCATTGGGCCTTGTCCCCGTCTCATCATTGCAAGGGAAAAGGGCCCCAATTGTCCTTAAAGTTCACCCAGTGGAGCTCATCACAGGGCCAAAAGGAAACTCCTCCATCACCAAGAGGTCCAGCCAGCTCCCAGCTGCTGGGGGCTGGGGATGGAGCAAGGCCTGGGGCTCCTCAAGAGCTCTGCACCCATGCCAAAGGACATGAGATGCCAGCCTGGGTCAAACCACAGGTCCCCTGAGCCCAGTATTCTGCATCTCTCAGTGGTGCAGCAGCTGAAGGGAAGAGAGACATGCCAGCACTTGTGCCCCTGCAGCAAGGGACACTCAGGGGCTCAGCCCTACAACAAGCACCAAGACAACGGGGGGAAACCTGGCGACATGCAGTCCTTGGGCAGGACAACAGAGCCCTCTACCCTGTGGAGGCTGGGCAGGGTGAGTGTGAGAGCAGAGCAGATGCAGGGACCCCAGAGGTGCGTGTGCAGTGCTTTGGAACCAGATGTGCAGGGCCTGAGTGCCAGGGGCTCTGCACCCCCCCACACACAGCAGACTGGCTGAGCCTGCCCTGGACAGCAACCAATCCCTTAGCTAAAGTTCTCCCACACTGCTGTAGATGGGAGTAATGGACATGAGGAGCTGTGCAGCCCGCTGAGGCCTCTAATCCCTCCCCTCAGCTGAATGAGGGGCATTGCTGCTGGGAGGTACAATGCATCCCAGCAAACCCCAGGGAAGGCCAGCCCCACCTCCGCAGTGGCACCCGGGGAGAGAAGGAGGACCTGCTCTCTGCCATGCACCACACATTCTAGCTGCTCTCCTGTGACCAGAATAGCATTCACATGAGCCAGGGCTGCCCATCACTGCGGGCACAAACCAAAGCAAGCAGAAGTTCCTGCCTGGCAGCCCCAGACAAACTCCCTTGGGCCAACCCTCCTTTAAGATGACAGATGGTGGCTCCCACAGCACTGACTACACTGTAATCACACAGCAGCAGGAGTGCACATGCAAGAGGAGACTGGAAGAGGAACCATGGCCAAGGTGCTGCCACTTGGCCCAGTGTCCCAGCATGGCTGGGAGAGCGGCTCCTACATGCCCTGGTGCCCCCTCCGAACAAGGTGGCAACCTGGAGGACACGAGTGGAGGCTGCAAGAGAGGAGCTGTCAGGAGCAGCAGGCAACCTGAGCCCTGGCCCACGACAGCCTCTACTTTGCCAGCCAGCACAACAAAAGGGAAGTTGCTGATCTGACCAATTCTGATGCCCCCATACTTAAAGGGATGCACAGGCCAAAAGACCTGTCCTTTAGCCTCATGTCTCAAAGAGCTGAAGAAGCCAGCCAGAGCATGCCCTGGCACATGCTGGGAACCCACCTCGTGTGCTCCAGGATGAGGTAAAAGACGCTATTTTGTCCGTATAAAGAAATCACCACCACCTTTTTCCTTGAACAGCTCTAGAAGCCCAAAGCTGTAGACTTCTGAGAGGGGCAACCTTGGTATCATGGCCATGCCTTTTCCTGTTGCACAGGAAATCTGTCCTAACGTGGGCAAGTTGCACTCTTGCCAGTTCTGCAGATGGCCCGTGGCTCCAGAGAACCACGGGCAGCTCAGATCTCCGAGGACTCCATCCTTGCCAAGCACGCACCCGCTTTGCACTGCTCCCACACGTTACCAGAATCCCCGCAGGGCCAGCCAGCCTGCTCCAGTCCTGGGCAGAGGGAGCTCAGGAGGAGAGGACCTCCTCTGCACGAGCTGCTCCAGGCTGATCAGTGGGACTGAGAGCAAGAGACATGCCCCTCCTGGCGCTCAAGAGGCTGTGTGATTCAAATGCAGACGGGTCATGAGCCTGACATGGGGTGGGGAGGGAGAAGAAGACTAGGACAAGGAGTCTGGCAGTAAGCAAAGAAACAGGGGTCAAGGGGTAGGAGGGCACTTGTGCAGAATGCCAAGGTGCAGTGAGGCGGCACAGGGCAGGGGATGCTACACACGGCACATGGATCCCCTCCCTCCAGCCTGGTTCCCCAACAAAAGGTTGCAGAGCACATGGGGCAGGCTGGCTCCACTGCAGCAGCGCCCCCTACAAGCTGCTTACCTGGACTCCTGGCTCTGCTCCACACCAGGGCTAGGTTTGCTCTGACTCACGCTCAGCCAGCATCCGACCCAAGTTTTCTGCAACCATAAATCTACCTGGGCTGGGGGGGGGGCTTGTGTAACCGGGAGAAGCTGCGCTTCTGGGAGAACATTATATTCATGGAAAACATAAACCAACTGTCGTCAAAGTCGTCTGAGCTCAGGAAGTGGAGCGGCCGGGAGAAGGTTGCCATGTGGCCGGATGTTATGTATTTCTAATTAGTGCTATACATCTTTCAGCAGCGAGTGTCCTTTTGCTGGGAAACACAACGCGCTGCCCTTGTTATTGTAACTGTCAGAGAGTGCTTAAACAGATAATCTCCAGGAAAAGTGATAAACACATCCCCTCCCTCACCAGGGTGTGCGGGACGGCACTGCCAGACCTGGCCAGGGCGATGCGACCAGTCACAGGAAATGGGAACGGGAAGAGAGAGGCGATAGAAGGAACCATCGCGTTCTGGGGAAGGGGCTGCCAGGGGCGCTCCCCACTGCACCGGTGCCAGCCCCGGGAGGAAATCCTGTGAGGATGACTGAGGCAAGAGCACTGGCAGGACAACACAGCCTCCCTGCTGTGCAGCCGAGCTCTGCCCGTAGGTGGTGCTGCCAGGAAGAGGGCAAGACGGCTGGCTGGGAGTGCTCTCGGGTGCTCTGATCTGAAGCTAGAGGCAGCAGCAGTGCAGAGCAGCCTGTTACCTGGAGCTTGCAAGTGAGCAGCCCTAGTGAAGATGGGGATGCTTCCTCCCTTGTTCATCTGGATCAGTAGGCCCCCCGAACTCTTGGCAGTTAAATACAGCAGGCTGAAGAGTGTTAGTCGAGATGCCAGGGGAAGCAGATCCCTGCGATTCAGGCTGCTCCAGTCAAGGGTCAAGAGGCAGCCGTGAGACAGGTCTTATGTGGCCTCTCTCCAAGCTCCCCTTGGGGTGAGGGGGGGACTCTGGGACAGGCAGCCTGCAGCTATGCTCAAGCAGCCCGGGCAGCAGTGACCTGCTGCTCCCAGGAAGTGGCTGCTGGAAGCTCCTCTCCCTGGTGATGTGGCAAAGGCCCATGAGCGGAGGCAGCCCGGGAGGAGCTCGGGTCTCCTGCTGCATTCCTGAGGAGCTGACTTAATGGACTGGCCAGTGGATGGTGGGGAGTGCCGAGCGCAGTGCTGCCGGGTGAGCTGGGCCTGAGGCACCCTCGCCGATGTGTCAGCAGCTCTGGCAGCAGCTGGGGAAAGCACAGACAAGACAACTGATTCACTGCGCTCCCAGTGCGCCGCTGCCCTGCGGGGAAGGAGGCCCAGGCTGGTCACCTCCAAGCTGACACCACCTGGAGGCGATTTGTTTGCTCTCTTATCACTCAGACACAAGAGCGCTTTCCTCATGAGTCACCCACAGCCAGACAGTGCTGGCACAACTCCTGAGCAGCCCACCAGCATCTGCCTGTCTGCAGGAAGTGGGCAAGGAGGAGAGCACCAGGGGCTGCCGGCTGAGGCACTGGGCTCCCCGCAGCAGCAGCTGGCGGCAGGAGAAGGTGGAGACAGCCGGCACACAAACCAGACAGGAACACAAGCCAACAACAAAGAGGGAGAGAGATTCGCAGCCACAGGGCATTTCCCTGCTGTCCCCTCTCCTACTGAGGAGAACCTGTGAGTCACGGGCACGCTCGCCAGCAACGGGCGACTCACAGCCACGTGCTCATCTGCCCACAAGGCGTAAGGGAAGTACAGGCACTTGCTCACCAGCCCCGTGCAGGGATTCTGGGCACCAGCCTGTCCCAGTCACACATCCCAGCCGGGGCCAAGGATCCCCAACTCCACACTTCCAGCAGGAGCATCCCTGGCAGGGCAGCTGGGCGCAAGGGCCCCGTGGCACAGCACTGCCACCTTCAGCAGGCAGAGGGGTATCTAGCTCCAACTTCCGTGTAGACGCGGGCTGCATCTCACCCAATGCACAACCCAGACTAGTAACGCAGTAGGAGCTGCTGGCTGCAGGGCAGTCTCACCTGACCCAGCTGTCGCCTGGCAGGGACCATGATGGGGAATGAGCAGATGCTTTGGCTGGGGGCGCTCCTTGTGCCCCCTGGCTCCTGCCTTTCTCCAGAGGGGGGCAAGAGCTCTGACCGCAAGAACCAGAGTCTCAGGCTCCCTCGGTGGAAGGCGCTGGAGAGGACAAGCACGGCTGCAAGGGCAAGCGCTCCCCAAGACAGCCGCAGCTCCCTCCGCTTTGAGCTGAAACACCATCTTGTTCAGAGGAGGGAGGCCACAAGGTGAGGAATGCCGGGGGCCTGGGGAGGATGGAGCTGCTCTCCCTGTGGAAGCCATTAGATATTCAACACTTCATTTGTTTCCAGCCGTTCTGGAGAGCAGCGCTGTGCTCCAGGACGGGAGGCTCTTCTCTGACGTAACCAGGAAGCAGCTGCAAAATTAAGGAATCCCTCATGACATCATAAAAAGGGTCGACGGTTTACAGGGGAAAGTATAAAAATTAATGACATATTCCCACCCGAAGCCGCAAGCCTGCCCGAGAGCCACAGAGGAAGCAGTGCTCTCACTGACACCGAGGGACTGGCCTGCCTAGGACAGCAGGCCAGCGCACTCCTGCTCACTCAGGGAGTCTGTGTCTGCCTCCTGCTCTCACTGTCCCCAGGCCTGGAATCCACTCTAGGACAGCGCTTGTGCCTGGTGCATGGAAACCCCCTCAGCCCCAGGCGGACAAGTAGGGCTCCAAGGCGGGTAAGGAAACATCCAGAAAGACAGCTTCAGTGCCAACCTGTTTGAGGCACTGGTCAGAAGCTGCAGCCCAAGGAAGAATACTTTGCAAAGAGATCAGAAGCGAACCCCTTTACTGGATGCCACAAGCATGACACATCCCCTGACAAGACAGGCTGGCCCTGGAGAGCAGCTGCCTCTGCAGAGCAGGGCATGGCACTACAGCACAACCCCAGAAAGAAGGGGCTGGCATTAGCCTTGAAGGCATGCACAGAGGGCTTCCACCCTGAAAGGGAAAAGGACAGCAGTTTAAAATTAACTCCAGCCTTTTCCAGGAAATATCAGTGGAAAGAAGCCGCCGTTTTTAGAAAATGTTGTTCTGAGGAATTTCCTGAAAAGCCCCATCAGTCAAAGCAGGGACACAGCCACTTCCACCTGCACGGGCTGCTCGGCAGGGCTCCTGCGGCGGCCCTCCAGCACAGTGGCTGCAGTCACACTGACACAGCCATGGTTTCTGCAAGGCCTCTGGAGCCAGGTCCGAACGCAATGTGCATCTTATGTAGCAGCACGATGGTGGCCCTTCCATCCAGAGCTTGGTCAGGAGACAGCATGTAGAACAGCCCCCCGAGAGCCTGGTTTAAAATAATCATCAAGGCATTGAGACAGGTGCGCTCCAAGCAGGGCTCCCACACAGCCTGGACCAGAAACAATCATACCCTGCCTACACAGACCCAGCGGTCAGGAAATCTCCCTCCTCTGCAGCGATCATAGTGGGGTGCACAAGGGCACAGAGAAATGCCCGGCACTTGCAGACGCCGTGCTGACTAGATCTCCAATCGCGTTAGCTGGCACTGTGGTTACAGTACTGGCTGGCGACCCCAAGGGCACAGAGAACATGCACCCATGCCAGCCGGGGCACAGCCGCCCCGTGACAGCCAGGGTGGGAATGCACAACCAGAAGGGGCCCATGAGCCTTTGGGCAGATGCCAGCATCCAGCCAAGAGGAGTGTCCTGCCCTGGCAGCGGATGCTGCTGCTAGCAGCTGCCCAGGAGCTGAAGGCGCCTGATCCTCCTGGTGTCAGATGTATTTAACAAGGGGGAGGAGGTGAGAACAGGGCTTCCCAAGAGACTGACTCCAGCCTGGAGTGAGAGTCCTGGTAGAACTTCACAACACATGAAAGGCAGCCCCTTTCCCCCATGCTGGAGGTGGGCATGTCTCTGGCAGCAAATGCAAGCAGACAGCTTGAAACATGCCTCTCCAGCACAAACCTTCCCAAGCGCTTCATGCCTGGAGTAGAAGCTAATGAGAGACAACGCCTGCAGACAGGCAGATTTGGAGAAAGCAGCCTTTGATGGGCCAGGCTGCGTGAAGTGAGCAGCTTCCGTTTCAACACATTCACTCCTTTGCTGCTCTTCTTTTTACAGCTTCCTGAGGGACCAGCCTGTTGGCTTGTCAGTGTTTGCAAAGCAGCGCCAAGCTGTAAAATGAACCCTGTGCCCTCTGGGGAAGCAGCAATCCCACTGCCCTGTCCCACCCCTCCGGGCTGGAGCTCCCTCCACAACCCATGCACGAAGATCCCGCCCCTTCCTTCTCAGGCCTGTTCAGTGTGTACTTCAGCCACACGGTCCCTAGATGCCACTACCGGCAGTAACAGTGCTGGCCCCATGCCTGCTGCGCAGGGTCCATGTCACGGCAGTGCTGGTAGCTGTGCCTTGAGCTAAGGTTGCCTAACGCTTTCTATTACAAGACCCAGTTTTCAGGTCCTGGTAACTACTGCCAAACTTCAACCATTCAGGCTGCAATCTTCCAAGCCAAGAGTCTCTTTCAGGGTTTTTTTTTTTTTTGGAAAGTTTCAACTGAAATGTTTTAGCTATTTCCCAGAACAAGGCTGGGGGGAAAATACCTGGTTTTCCACACATTAAAACTGCTGACAACCCTTCACCAAAAAACTCTAACAACTTCATGCTCAGGTGCGGGGCCTGGAGATTTTGGCTAGGGTGTCACAGCTGTGCCTCTTGCTATCTGCACAAAAACTTACCCCATTCTGGCCATGCAAGAGGCCTCTGAAGACGTCTGCAGCGAGCACGCTTCATTTCCATACAGAAACATTCCTTAATTACGTGCCCACATACTGCTTTTCCGCAGAACTCAGGTTCAGTCGGTGCAGAGGATGAACAGCCTCAGGAACGCATCAGGGCTGTGCAGGGCACAAGGGACCCTGCAGGATCCCTTCCAGATTTGATGGAGGGCGTGTACTGAATGAGGCTGGGAATTGCAGGAAGCGAAAGAATGGTCTCAGGGTTAAGGAAGTTCAACGGCACCCTGGAGAACCAGACTCCTCCCTGCCCCCAGCACCATGCTCCTGCACGATGGCAGTTAAGCCCCACAACCAAGCTCTGCACAAGTGGCCACTAAGGACATGGTCCTCCCTTTCGGAGTGCCCAACATAAGACCTGGGGGCTACGACTACACAGCACTCAGCACTTGCAGATGGGACACAAGTCAATACGAGCTGTGCTTTGAAAAGTTACAAAATGCCAAGGACTCAAGAATCAAACCTCACCATCTTGCACAGGACACCCAAAATGCAGCTCTGGCTGCAGCTCCATGCCTCGGCTCCCCATTGGGAGGGGGGTAACAGTGCCACCTTTCTTCCTCATGCTTCTGGACAGAAAAGTGCCTTAACGCCCACGAGGCACTGGGATACTATGGCCAGAAGGATGGTGGGGAAGCCCATGAGAAGTCACAGATTCTATAGCCGGTGTCAGGTTTGGATGGAGTGCAGAATACAATGCCTCAGGCTACCTGTTTCCTGACGGGGACAATGGAAATACCAAACAGCTATGCATTCAGCTTGCATTGCCCACCCTGCTCACTGAACGAGGCAGGGGAATGGCAGAGTGCACTGTAACACATGCACATGAGGGAGCTGAAGGAAGGCATTTCCTGACTGCAGTGCTTGACCCTGCAACCTTGCTGTGTTCAGCGCAATGCTTTGGGATATAGTGACTTCCTAGACCCAGCCCCAGCCCAAGCCAAGACACTCGAAGGCAGGAGCCTCTCTTGGGTCTCCTGGCATGCTTCCGCTATGTCACCACCGGGTGTCTCAGACTTCTGGTTTTACTGTCAGCACTTCAACTATAACCGACTTGGAAAACTGGAATCATGCAACAGAAAGGGTTTGTAGGAAGTGATGCACAAGCCTTCCCCAGTCATCCCAATGCAGACAACTAGGAGACACTCTCCCACCTGCCTCTGGCCTTGCTGGTGTGGTCACACCCCTGGAGCAATGGGATTCCCAGTTTAGAGACAACCCCTAACAGCAGGGCACAGGAGGGGTGGCACGTAGGGAATGCCAGCTCAACGCACCCTTCCCAGCACCTCCAGTGTCTGCAGCCTCCTGGCAAGGACCCCAGAGAACACCATCCCACCGCTCCAACAGCTGAAGCCCTGGGCTGAGAGCATGCTATGAGCAACAGCACACATGCCTAGGCAGCGAGGCGGCTTCAGGCTCCCCTCAGTGGGGCTCAGCAGAGCGCCTCCTCCATGCACTAGCACAACCACAGGGACAGCCAGGTTTTGTGCCAGATCCCTCAGACAGGGATTCCCTCAGCTTATCGAACCCACACCATTCCCAGCAGCGCCTCCCAATGGGAAAAGCTGGACCTGAAGCAGCCACGGCCCGTCCCCTTCCCGAGTGCACCTCCTGCTGGGAGAGCCTGGGCAGGAGGGAGCTGCGCGCTCCTCCCGAGCCAGCGCTGCTACATTTCCTGCAGAGATTTGAAAACCTGCCGCAGTTCCAAGCAGGCTTCGATTTCACTGCGAGCAGCAGCTCAGAGACCCGGAGTTACTATACAGCCGAATAAAATATTTTTTCATAAATTTAACGCCAGCATGTCTGTGTTTGGAAACTTTGAAAATCCATGTTGTATGGTTTACTGCACTGGAAAAGGTGCCAGCAGAGTTTCAAAGGAAGGGAAGTGTATAACTGTTTCCTTTCAAATGCATTTTCCAATGGGATCCATTGAGGGAAAAGGCTGGAACTAACTAAAACATTATTAAAAACTGTTATGAAAAGAGACAGAGAGATGGAAAAAGATAGAGAAAAAGTCCAACACAGAGCCGAGAGGGAGGGCGAGAGACAGGCAACGAGAAAGGGGATATGGGCAGAAAGACACGCTGGGTGGGGAAAGGGGCGAGACGGAGCGTTTTATCTGGCAGTCACCGTTCGCGGTTGCATATTGTTGCAGATCAATTGATCAGGATTTCAGTGCTGCTGGCTCAGTGGCACGGGGCGAGCCACAGAGTTGGCTGCAAGCACAGCACTTACGAACTGCTGACCTTCGGTTTTCAAACCAAAAATATTCCTTGGGAAACGGTTACACCAGGTTCCAGCCCTGGCTGCCAAGCAAAAACAAGCACTACTAACCTGAAGTAACACCCTGCTCACTTACACCGGGCAGCAACCAGGACTAGTAACCTGAAGTAACTCCCTGCTCTGAGTCAACCAGCACCACTGCCCTTGCGTGACATGTGGGGGGGGCTGGCTCTCCCTTGCTTGGACTGGATGAGCCAGCGCACCGATCAGTGACACAAGCGGTCGCGAGGAAGGTGCAGGATGCAGCCATCCCAGTCCCAGATGCAGTGCCAAACAGCTCTAGCCCCACGGTGTGCTTTGGGCCAAGTTTAAACACTGCTGGGAAGAGGTCTCTGCGTACCAAACTGACTGGGCCCATTGCACGGCCTGGCTCCGGCAAGGCTGTTCCAGATCCAGGCAGTGCCCCTCTCCTCCTGCCCTCCAAGACAGAAACGGACTGAAAGCACACTCTGCTCATCAAGTGCCCTTGGACTACATGAGGCAGCCTAGGCACGGCCCAGCACAGAGCCCTGCTCAGAGACCCACAGAGCGGAGAGAGAGCCAGTGTCTGCAGACCTGCGCCGAAGCCTAGCCAGGCGTCCGAGGGCCAAGACGGGGGTGGGCAGAGTATGGTGCAAGCCTGCAGAGCTCCAGGCCTGTGGTTCTTCGGGGTGTAGTAACCGTGGGCTGTAGCACACATGTTGAGGGATGAAGGGAAAAAAATAAACAGACAGACAAAAGAATGAGGATGCTCTGCCAATTCCAATTGTGCAGCTTTTATTTTAAATGCTTATCAAGCTGAGAGAGAGCAGAGTTCTTGGAAAACAAGGTTTCCTTTCTTCCAATGCCAGCGTCAAACACCCTCAAGGACGGGTACAGCACAGGCGCTAGCAGCCTGCTGCATGCTCGCAGCCACAGCTCTCCTGTCCCACCCGCCTCCAAGAGGCTCTGCAGTAACAGCCCTGGAGTTTCTGGTAAAAAGATCCCTGTGCCTTTTTATTAATCTCCAATCTGGCTGGGTTCAAATTATGGCCAATTACCCACCAACACTTCTTGCTAATAAAATAAATTTTTACAAGCCCTAATTACTGTTTTTGCTGAACTGCTCTACAGGAAGCAGAGTGCTGCAGATCTCCAGACAGCAGCAGACAGTAACGCGAGGCACCCGTGAGCACGCAGGCTAGTGACTCAGAGGAGACACGCTACCACAGGAGGGGAGGGAAGGGGAGGGGGCTGCCTGCTTAGCGCTCGAGACGCACCAGTTCCTAAAAGGGGACACTGAATTTACATCACACATACGGTGTTGTGGCTTCTGTGGTCAGCCACAGTCTTTGGTCACATCACCAGCCACCTGTGGCACCAGAGAACTGCCCAGCCTATCCCATGAGGGTGTGGAGACTCTAACTAGCCATGCAATTACATCTGGGAAAGGATTGTATGAGAATGGCATTGATCTCCCTTGGCAGTGGTAGCCCTGAATTCTGCCCACCATGCTGACTGCAGCCCAAGGAGATGGATCCACTCCCCAAGCTCAGGCCACTCCCCACTTTCAGCGCAGGGTCACGGGGAACCGCCCTCCTTGGACTGCCAGCTCCTTTCATAAGGAGCGCAGCTAAATGACAGAAACCGTGGTCAGAAGGGCAAAGACACTGACATGTCCTCTGAAAGGACGGAGGAGGCATTAGAGTAATGGGGCTTCAGATGCCTGCTAGCAGGTTCTGCTCTCCAGCGCACCAAAACCCCAGTGCCGCAGGGTGTCCTGGCAGCAAACACTGAGCCGAAAACAAAGGCGATGGCAACTAACAGCCAGAGCCTCCTGTCTGGACAGCACCCGAGCAAGCCTCAAGCTCCACAAGGCAGCAAGCGAGGGAGGCTGCTGCTATGAGTGTCGCGCATGCAACCTCCAGTGCAGGGAACACCCTTGGTGGCAATAACACAGCAGCAAAACCACTGGACCACAGCACACTCCCAGCCCATGCGCTCTGGGCCCGCGGGAGCCTCTCAAACCGGGGCTGCCACACAGGTATCCAGGCTCAGCTGGGGAAAGTGCAGCTCTGCTAGGTTGATTAATTTTTCTTTCTTAACCAGGATTACTTTAATTTTCAAGGCCTAATGGACTCCAGCTGCGAGGGAGGCAGAGCTGCAGTAGTACAAAGACAGCCCTTGCACACTGGTGCAAGCTAGCACAACATTCCAGACACACGCGCACAGAGCCCTAGAAAAAGGATGCACTACGGCGGGATATTTTTAGTCTCAACAATACCGCACTAAAAATACAGCTCTGCTGATACATCACTGCAGAAATATTCTCAGTGTCCATTCAGGAATGGTTTAAAACATTTATTTTTGTTTCCTTTTGCGATGGTCAGAGAGGAGGGAGAAAATAGAAACTCATTGATAAGAGGAAACGAGAGAGACATGAAAAATTGAAAACTACCTAAAAGCTCATGGAGAGGTTTATTTTATTAGTTCTTAATAAATATCTTGCAGATTTCCTCAGGAAATACACCAGATCACATGTAAAATAGTTTGATACTGATGTCAACTGCGTCAACATATGAAATCTATTAGGGTGAAGCCACAGCAGGGTGATCAGCGTGCTGAAAAACTGCACGGCACTGAAGCAAGGGGGGCGGGGGGAATCTCACGGCCCTTCCAAATTCTTCGAGAGGTAAAAAAGTCAGCCAAGACGCAGAGAGAGAGAAAAAAAGATCCCACATCCTGCTTTGTGCTGCCAGCAATGTGAAGTGCCCAGAGATTAATTCTATGTCTGGCCTGGAAATGTGACTTTAAAGCATGGAGGGAGGGGGAGAAGGGGAGAGGAACGAGAAGGCCAGGCTAACTGGGGCTGGCACCATGCCACCAGCCCCCTCCCAAGTCATGTTTCAATGTAGACAGCAGTAAACCCCAACAGACAGCAGCTCCTCACACTGCCAGGGCCTCGCACCAGCTGCAGCGCGTCTCGCTCTCCGTGCACAGCCCCAAGTGCAGATGGGCCTGAGAGCATCACTTCCGCTCTGCCTGCTTTTAAAGACGCAAGTACATGTGGCGGCATTTCACCTCCCTTCGACACGGGCCGTGGATATTTGGGGCCCCGGAGCAGGGGGGCCCTGCTCCCAGCACCAAGCCCAAGGACTCGTCAGACCTTGGCTCCCTAGGATGCACTCTGAAGGGTTTATGCTGTTCCCAGCGTGTCTTTGGCAGCCGGCACCTCCCTTCTGCATCCATGCCATTATCCGGAAAGCAGGCACTGCTTACGCAAGCCTCTTCTCCCTTCCTAGAGCCGGCAGCATAGCGCCAGAGTCCACAGGGAAGCAAAGGCCAGACACGCGTGCTGGAGAATCCACCAGACCACGAGCTCTGCGTTGGCGCAGTCCCACAGTGGCAGCACTGTGCCCACCTGGCACACAAGTACTGCGGGACTGTGCCTTCTGCCGTGCCCCACTGGCTGCTGCGTCAGTCCCCCACGATGCCTGCCACTACTGCTCCACGCAACGCACACCTCGGGCAACAGCGGATCAGCAGCACGGTGGCCAAGACCACCTCTGGTTAGAGCAGCACCATTTGGGTAGTGCCATCCACTTCCCATGGCACTTACTGGCCTGCCCCTGGCTGGCGCTACCCACAGCCTCCAGAGCCGTAACTAACCCCATTGGTGTGGAATGCGGCTTTGCAGTGCACATGCATGGGAACCACTCAGGTGCCCTGCTGCTCAGCGGCCAACTCCCCTGGGACTGGAAGCTTACTCCCGGCAAACCAATGTCGCTAAACAACCTGCCCCTGGCTACGCTGGCTGAGAAGCTGGGTTTAGCATCATGTTCATTAATGTGAGTCCTCAAGAAACACCTGGCGGAAATGCCCTCCTGGCTGTGCTCTCTTTCCTCCATTGGTCTCAGGGCCCTGGCAGGACAAAGACACATTGTACAACCCTACAAATCACCCGTACAGCCCCCTCCTCTGGGGACCTGTCACCAAGGTCCCACGGGGAGCAGTGACTTGCACACAGCAGCAAAGAGGAGGCAGGTTGCTCAGGAGAAGCAGGCAGGTGAGCTCACAGGATGCTAAGCCAACCTGGGGCTTGGAAAAGGCCCAACCACAGCGAGCTGGCCTGGGTAGGGAGTGCTCACTGCTGGAGGCCCCATCAAGACTTTTACAGCATGGTGGAACACCATCATTAGCCTAATTATACAATGTTCCCTAACACAATTAACAAAAAGCAGAGTCGTCAGCTCAGTGCTGCTCAAAAACACGAGGAAATCAAAGGTGCAGAGAAGTAGCAAGACGTTATAGAGATACGTTCAAACTCTGAAACATCTCTGTAAAAGCGAGGGGGTTTGCACAACACCACTAGCCCTTCCTACCACCCCTACCCCCACTGCAAAGCACAGCACCACGACAGCTATACTGGACACCTCCCCTAGCAAGCCAAACTGATGGACGTAGTGCTGTCAGAGCTCAGAATTTCCTATCTTTCCCTGCCCACAGCAATGCTATTTCTGCCCACGTGTCTTGGAGGGTCTCACTGAAATGCCTCTTCTCCCAGCTGCAGGGCACATGGGAGCCTGTGTCACACTGCAGCACAAACTCCTCTCTATACTGACTTGCGGCGTACCAGCTTTGTCCTAACTTCCCTGCTGAGGCACAAGAACTTGGCTGTAAGCAGAGCCTAGCTCTGCGATTACCAACCATTTCCCTCTGCTTGTTGCCCTGAAGGAGATCTAGGCATGAGGCTGTATCCTGCGAAGGGGCTTAGACAGCAGACAGCAAGGATGTGCTTACGTCACAGGCAGATCTGACAGAAGCCCCTGATGAGTTCACCTAATAATGCTGCTCACCAGAGACAGAGCGCAGCCCCACTCCAGCTGGAGGGAAGGACTGGAGAGTCTGACACAATGGCAGGCACTCCACACACACTGGAAACCTTTCCCTTCCCTGCCACAAAGCCTTGCTCGATCGGTTGCCTCCGAAGCCAACATCTAGATTTCAGAAACCTGAACTTCAAGTGGAAATTCCCTGCAGCGTGTTGATTTCTGCATCTCCTGCTGGCACTTGTGGCAAAGGGGAAAAAGTCACATGGCTTTCTGGACACGCGGTATGCTGAGGAGTCTTGCATCAGCGAGTAAAAGCCAGAAGCCAGGAAAATAACTCCAATTACGGTAAATAAATCCCCAAATATGTGACAATCTGCCTTTTAAACAGGAAGCACAGGGGAATAAGCAAAGGAAGACTCTGGTCTAAACACAGTTGCCACCAGCCATGAGGGCTCAGCAGAGGTGCACTCAGAGCACATCGGAGCCAACGGTTTTACCTGAACTTTTTGTCTGCATCCTGTGGCTGAGAACAGCATATTTCCCTCCCTGAAAGACCGGGAGCTCCCGGCTCCCAGCCTGCTGCCAAGCCCCAAGCGTCACAGCTACGTGAGAGCAGCCAGAAGCGCTGCCACCACCTCCACACTGCTGCAAATCCCTTGTCAGTCTGGTCCCACACATTCAGCACTAAGTACCGCTCAGCACAGCCGCCGGGTTTCATGGGAGGTTCCCGCTACCCCAGGGCCAAGTTCCTGCAGGGCTGTGGAAGCAGCAAGGCATGCTGCATGTCATGTCTTCTCCCGAGGGAAGCAGTGCAGGCACGAAGCAGAGGCAAAGGCACCATATACTGGGGCAGGACCATCTCTCTGCTGTGCGAGCAGTGAGGGCCTGGCCCAGGAGCAGGGCTCCAGGCACTACAGTGTGCAAACAGGTCAAGCCCCAGGCCTCAACACGAGGCTGGGATGGAACCTAATGCTCTGTGCAAGCAGTGATCCCTGGTGTGTGCTCTGCCCTTGACAGCCACAGGGAGAGCAGCCCTGTTCTTCCCCCTCTCCTTTGCCCAGTTAGAGAAGGCCCCTAGCTTGGAACTTCTCTCTTCCAGACTCACGGGTGGCCAAGACCCCAGACCAGCAAGGAAGAAGGAAGTTAGGGACAAACTTCTATTCCAGGACTCTGGGAAGAGTCCTTTTGAACCCTCCCCCTAAAGACTGACACCCAACCCACCCTAGAAACTGCACCCCCTGCAAGCCCCTTCCACGACCATGCCTCCTACCAGGCAGAGGAACCCCAAATTGTGGATACAAGCTGGGTTTGCAACCCCCCGCCTCCTCCTAGGTACTCAGACTGTCCTAGGGCTGTAGCACAGCTCTGGAGCAGTTAAACCCCAGCGTGGCCCCAGTCCTGCTGCGCCAACTGGGGAATTCTCTAACTGGGTCCCACATCCCAGCTGGACAGACCCCTCCCTTTGCAAGCTGCCCTTGACCTGCAGATGCGGAGCCCTGACCCCCTGCCCCTGGCGTTCTGTTTGGGACAACACAGAGCAT